GTTCTCTCCGTCTCATACCTTGCTGCATATGCTGAAGTGACCAGAAAAGAGTCCCATTTGCTCTGGCCTTTGCATTCACATACACGTAGCAGTGTTACCAGACACAAGACCAGTCACAAGTGACAGGGTGAACAAAGAAATGCTTTTGCTGCAGTTCATATGAATAGCTTGTGGCTTGAATTCAGACTGGAGGTCTTATTGGGCATCTCGACAACAACACTGACACGTAGGACCCTCTTCCAGTCAACTATAGTCCCTCAGGTTGCACAGGCATGCGCTAATGTCCTCATTGCTGTAGTCCATGTACAATGTACACTGTTTTATTTACATGTATATAATGGCCAATGCCTTTGTACAGGTTGAAGAGTTGCAGAGACAATCTCACTCTGATGTCATATAAGTGGAGCACTATGTACGCCACAAGCCAGTGGGCTGCACCATCGTTTTCAGTAATACAAACTCAGGTTCTACTCATGACAAGTACATGTAGTTCACTGTCAACTTCTCAAAGGTAAGCAATGAACCAAGCCAGGGATTAAGCCAGGTCATCATCTTCAATGAGGTAGTTGGGGTTGTTGGCACTGAATCCTGCAATGCTCTCTCTTTTCTCCTCTATCTTGAGGCGTTTCTTGCGAGCGATGGGCTTGAAGGCATTCCAGACACGCAGACTGCCATCCCAAGAACCAGAAACGTACTGTCCACAAATGCAAACAACCAAAGTCGACAATTTTTAAACAATCTCATACATCCGTTCCAATGTACAGAACTTAAACTTCACTTAAACAGAATTTTGAAATCATGTAATTCAATTACACTGTGAATGAAATGTATCCATCAGCAAAACTCTGAAATCAAATTCTGTGTTTGAGCCCAACGATAACTTGGCAAGCAGCTGAGCTATCTTGCCTCTATAAAACTGTTAAAGTGACATGGAAAATGTGTATTTAAATTGAATTTGCACAGTCAATAAAGATTATTATACTCAGTTTAACCTGATTTCTTTCAGGCAGGTGTAGAATACTGCGTATGGAGTCTGTGTGTCCAACATTCGTCTGCACTAGTTTGTAGTTGTCTGGATCATAAACTCTGTTCAAAGAAAATGTGAAATAATTCAACAAATGCACTTCGCTCTCCTTCAAAAATTGGAAGTATACACAATCGTTCATCAATTTCAAATGCAAGGACTGCAACGGATGCAGCATTGCTTTTTTTTCTCACTGCAATGGCCTTGTCCAAAACTCTGGCATGATACATGTAGCTCGAGTTCGGGCGGCTTGTTCTTGACACGGGTTTCTTGTTCTCGCGCTCGAACAGCGGGAACACGACTCAAGTACACTGTCCTCAGAACAGGATCACTCACCATCTCCTCGTCAGGGTTTTACAGGAACACACAGAAATAACTCGTGAGATTTTGATATTTGCACAGCTGCAAAAAGAAGAGAGATGGCTCTCAAATCCATAGACCATGTAGACAATGGGTAGTTTAGCAAAATTAACATTCATTATTTTTCCGAAATGAATGTTCCTGTTTATATAGAAAAGAATACAGCCCATCCAAACCTTAACTCTCGAATAACGTATTTATGGACGCCGCCATGTTGCATGTTGCGTTCGAGCGGCCGACCCACAAACAACAAATCGAGCTGTTCATGAAAATACGGGAACAAGCTGCCCGAACTCAGCCCCTTATGTCATGCGTATTTGAAAAAATGACCCCGGTGATATACAAAATCGTCAATTCCTTAATTCCTGTCGCCAATGGCAGAAAAGGCCTGAATGCCATGACCTAAAATTTGACCACGTGGGCCAAGTACATCATGTGACACATGTGAGTATCCAGCGTCAACAAACATCGCGTCCTTCCATAACAGAGTGAGCAATAAGTGTCATTTACCAACACTATAAAGATGACAGTCGGTATAGAGACTACCGAAGTTCTGAGTGCTATACCAAAAATTGGTTTCATTTTTGGCAAACAACACTTAAGACAATTTGCTATGGTTGGACACCATGCTGTACTTACTCGGTGGGTGCAATTGGTGTAGTTGTTTTATATGTGCACTTTCCCGTGGAGTCTATTGGGCCCATTGTCCAGGAAAGCACAAAATGTTGCGTCATCAGCACAGAGGACTATTTTGCCATGCACAGTCATTTTTATTTTCACAGGTACCTCATGGACTTCTTAATGCACCATGGAAACCTGTTAAGGTCTTTGGGGAATAGCTAGCCTCAGTGAGACACTGGTAACGAGGTAATTATCATCTTATGGCTACTCTCCATCCACATGCCCAACAGTGAATTGACAAACACTGAAATCAACGCATGTCTCCAATGGAGAGATGTCTGTTATGAATGGGACATAAACCTTGTTAGGAATTATTGGAGCCATGGTATCAAGTTTGCCACTAGATGTTATCTGTAAAGCTGTGTGACATTGTAAAGCACAGCGAACTATTCCCCGACTAATAGTAATGGCTATCATTCTCAAGCTCGTGGAAAACAGACGCACTACACTATTCTGTGTTCCACGAGTGTGAGCGTGAATAACGAATTTATCTTCAAGCAAACGTGACTCCCAGTAAAGATGTTAACAGGGCCTATGTGCACAAACGTGCCACCTTTGAATTTACAGTAAATCATGCAGTTGCGCATGTTGCTTTTAGCATAAAAATACTGCATTCCGTTGAGTATACCGCATTTTGCAGAGTTGGACATAGATGGTACAACACGATTATAGGTCACTCTGTTTATTGCCATGGATTGACCAATCTTAATTGAGAATTCAAATTTGCCAGAAGATAATTTCATATGTTTGCTCTTTATGGAGCCACCATGGAAATGTTGCATGATGTAAACTGTACAGGTAGATAATCAATCAACATTGTAGGTAGACACGGATATATGGCAGTACGTGCACATGTTGATTGGCATTTTACATGACGACTGAAATTGGAATCACAACTTAATGCTGAGGTGTGGCAAAACAAACACCTGTGTTTCTTGGGAGAGGGGTGGATAGTCAATGTCAGCTGCAATGGTTCTTGGAATATGAGGTACTAGTTCCTTCAGCATTTCTCAATTTCAAGCACCTCTGTTAACTTCAATCAACTATCCCCCTCCAGACATATCTGTATTTTGTGTACTAATCAACACTTTTTCGCATCATGTCCATTTTCAGTAAGATTCTAGACTGAGCAATATTTGTATATTAAAATACAAGGCTTGCTGTTTCCTTACTAATGCAAACTAATTGCAGAGTAATTGGGCCTTATGATTTAATACGTGCGATTGGGTCCCAAACTGAAATTGTGGGATCAGGTCCCCCCCCCCAATTTGAAAGGATGGAGGAGGATTTTTGAAGTGACAGAAATCCCCATTCCTGGACAAAAACGATAAACTCCGACAAACATCATCAGAAGAACTCACTCATGAACTGACTGCCTTTCTATAACTTTACGTTTTCAAAACCAGGACTGGACCTGGACGTTACATCTCGGGCAGCCGGAAGAAAGGGAGAAGCAACTGACAGGTGCACGAGACTGACAACTGAATGGGAGCTGGTCAACTAATTGACGACTCACTTAATAGTGTTTTGAACACCAGCTATGATGCAGCTGTTGTAGGCATCTATGCAGAGAGATGTGATGGCTCCGTGGGTTGCCAGCACCTGTATACAGGACATACCATCACCGCTCTGAAACAAAATTCAAATAATAAACACGATCAAGATGTTTCACTTTTCAATACGTTGTACGTGTATGTCAGACACAATCTACAAAAATTTGAAGCCAGGGGAGTTTTAGGGGACAATTTAAGAGAGTAAGAAGCTCTTTTTCACCTTCTGCAAAAAGAAGCAAATAAAACTATGCAACATTGGTAGTCTCTTCTAAAGGCATTGTTTTGCTCAATGCTCCAAAAAGCACATCATGACATATGACATTTGACCTACTCATATAGAGCAATTCCAGGCCTCATCCGCCTGTCACCCAAGTCAAACTAGAAGAGGGAAGTTTATGACAAGTGTTCTCCCTAAACGCACAAGAATAGAGGGATCCCAATACGACGCTTTTAGCGTCGATCTGCGCACTTCCGCGTTTGAAAACGAGGCTGTATGTGTCAGCTTCAATTCTTAATACGATCAGACAATTGAAAGTAAGGAGTCAAGACACAAAATACATAGAGGTATGTTAAATTCAGACTTTTCAGGCGGCAAAGTTTTGTGGAAGAGTCTCTCAGGATGACTTGAAACGTAAAATAAAAAGAAAAAATAACACTTTACCGCGAACTACCTGCAATGGTCCTGTATCTTGTGCAGTGGGTGTGGTTTAAACTGAAGTGGCGTCACACTTACGAACCGGATACTCCACGTACTGTGTGGACTCCGTGGGCGCGCCCGAGGAAGTTCAACACAGAGAGCCTCGGTTTCAATGCAGATATGCGCAAACGGCGCTAATATGAAATCCGTCTACATGTATTTGATACTACAGAATTGAACAACAATCCTGGCACTCCAAAATGTGAATGTGTGAACGTAAAGGTCGAGCAACTTTGACTGATAAAGCAAATAGACTATTTCTGTCTGCCGCACAGTGAAATTTACTGAGACGGTTTTGCTTTAACTCTAACAAAGCTTGGAGGGGGATGCACATCGTCAACACTTTCTCCAATAGTGTCGATGTGCAACTTTATTTCCTATGCACCTAGCCTGAAAACATGCTTTGGGGATTTTTTAGCAACTTGTTGCATTTATTTGAAATCAATTTTATGAAAATCTCACACAGATTTCAAACTTCTGGTATACATGTACACGCACAGTAAGTTTCAAATTGAATGGATTTGTGACAGCTGAGTTCTCTGGGAGCAGAATCCCCCTGCAGTCAAATGGTCGTTAACTACTTTGTGCTGGGTTCAATTAAAATGGCCGTGCACAAATACAGGCATTTTTCATGATTTTCCATTTTCGAAATTCTTCAAGAATTCATTACTTCATTTACTAGACATTTACACCCACAGGAATGATTGTCTGGTGGCTACTCTAATCTGAGAGGCAACATCTATTGACGCCCGTGTATTTCAGCCAGGCCTGCTGCCTTGTAAAGAGAGCCCAGATTGTGCAATGTTGCATAATTTTCTTTTGCTCTCGAAACTAGAGCAGTTCACGGCTGGCGTCTTTTTCAGTGAGGCCAGACTAGCGGGCAGCAGTAATGTGTTGCTCGGCACAGCAGCACTGGAGAGCTTTCATCCGTGGTTGTAATCTTCCGTACTGAATGCCACAAATAGTGGTATAGTGTTTCCAAAAAAAGGACGGGTTACCTCCGCTATTGACAACTGAAAAACTGTTCCTCAAGTCCCAGCAGCTCGGCCTTTTGTTACAAGACCCGGCTCTTTTGTCTGATTTCGGGCTCCCCGACTATGCGTACAAACATAAGGTACCCGATACCGGGTCCCCCGGTGCAAAGTAGTTAAAAACCTGGCTCTTTTAAGAGTTACATTTCAATCTTTCTAGAAATGTTTTTGGGATATCTATATCAGACTAAGATTGCAATTTGAGAATATTTAATACCATTTTTTGAAACACTCATGAACTAACTCTTTATAGAGTTAAACCATCGAAGCCATTGAGTTGTCGATTTACGTACTCACCCATATTCTGATTGTTCCATCCTCTGAGGCGGTGACCCAGTTGGAGCGTGCCCTGGACCATTTGACCTGAGTGATTTCCCCCTCGTGTCCCTGTAGAGTGTTGCTCAGACGCATCTTGCTGCCATCAGGATCAAAACTGCGTATGTAAACCATCTTGTCGCTTGAAGCATAGGCAAACTCCTTCCTATAGGATGCACACAAATAGAATGAATTTATGACAACAGAACCAATCTCATCATAAACTACAATATGGACTTGTTTTTAGGTCTTGAGTGTCATTTTGTAGTTTTCTTTAAAGTAAAAAAATCTGTAGTTTGTGAACAACTGCACTAGATTCACCTATAATATAAAAATATTTCGGGCATTTATATAGCATTCTTACACAAAGTGGTATCACAACGCTTAAAAGTAATACAGAATGAGAAAAATAATAAAATTATGGGCAACTAGGCTAATGACTCACGGAAAAGAAGAGTTTTATGCAGTATTTTGAATTTTAGTGAGGGAAGTTGCATGACGGGTCTTGTGAGGAAGATTATCCCAAAGGTTAGGAACAGCTGCATAAAAACTTCTGTGGAAATGGAAGAGCGAGTTTCGGGCTTAGTGAGAATTCTGGTATCTGAACTGCACGTATGTAGAATGGAGTGTACAGTTCAGCCGGTATGGAGTGATGAGTTCTGATATGAGCAAGGAAGCATAGCAAAAAAGCTGACAGCTTTAATCGTACAATTAAATACCTATGGTGCAATGGGCCCACGGCTCTTGCAGCATGAACACAGTGCTAAGTGTTTCAATATGTGAACACCTGTCACAGCGCCTAGACTACCTACAAGCACTCCCTTAATAACAAAAAGTGACAGGTGGCTATATCTAAATGTCACTAGCACCACTTGCAAGGACTTAGTAATATGCATTAGATTTGCACAATATCTCTTGTGCACTGCATGCCACAGATGTCCCCACAAGCGGTGGTATATTCACTAAATAAAAGACTGTTGTCTCAAAAACGTCGCATGGTCTACGCACCGTGTCCATTTGCAAATGTGCACTTTCAAGAAAGCAAACGTAATTTTTTAAGAGCCTTCAAATTCAAAGCAACTCCCAAATTATGAAATAGAAAATCCCATCAAAATTCAGAAAAGGAATTTAAGTCTTTCACAAAATTCCCAAAAGTGATCTTGTAGAAATTTTGAAGTTAGTTGCCAGTACTACATGTATGCTTACCTCTGACAGCTGTAGTCCATATCAATTACGATGCCATCACACGCCAATTCCTGCACTTCATATGAGTCACGGGAAGTGTTGCGGAATGTATCATGCAGCCTGAAATAAAAACAAAGTTTAAGGTGTGACTTAAAATAACTGTATTTTACAACGTAGAAGTACATAACGCCCAGGTACATGTACATGACACAATGCTCATGTAGAATTGCACAGGACATACCGAGACACTGTAATGCAGCATCAGAAATACAGTCTCAGTCCTCTCTTTAACAGCAAGTCTGCAAATTCTGAGCTTTAGTATTACAACCACATGGAAACTAATGACCCTCCTTAAATTGTTTTTCTAAAACTGTTAATTCTAAGATGGAGAAATCGTCTTGCACACTTGCACTTGTGATACACATGCTTGTATGCATTGGAAGAAAAAATGACACAAGATACTTGGAGAAAGGCTGGTTCATTCTACTACTGGTCAACACGAAAGCCAAGCATGTTTTCCATCACAAAACATTCTGCAGTGAAAATTACTTGAGTTGGAAAGTGTTCAACTGTTGCAAATTCGCACCACAAATACTGGATGTGAAAATTCTGTGTTCCCGTCAACTTTTGCACAGAGTGGGAACAAACCTCAAAGCTTAAGCTAGTTACTAAAGGCCAAACACGGAGATGGATTAAAGGACTTGGAACTAAACCTAAATGTGATCTACATGTATTTTAATAGTTTCAGAATAAAAGTGAAGAGGAAAGTAACATCTGATTGGCTGACCTGAAAAAAAAGGATTACTTAAGGCTATCTGTCAAGTCCTTCACAAATATGGCTCAATGGAAATTTTATTCAGGTTTAATCACATTTACAATCCAAAGTGGATTTAGACTTAGGATATTTGCTCATGCACAATTGGGTCTATACAGTGAGTACAAGGGGCAAAAAACGAAGACAAATTTCATTTGATGAATGATACTTACGTGCCAGTTTCCAAATCCCAAATACAGATTCTTCGGTCCCAGCCTGAACTTAACTAAGGAGACAAGGCAAAACAAATTTAAAAGCATTAACTAATTACTTTGTAAGTACGAGTGAAAGCTTTCTGTGGTGGAAGCAAGACGGACTCGGAGGAGAGAAATTTGTGTGTACACCATGTGGAATCGCTAACTTCTAGAGGTGTGGTAATCCTGATAAGAACAGGTGAGCAGTAACTCAACATGTTTTACACTATTGTCACGTTACATTGCCTACAGAGAGCTTGATTGCATTACCGCCACTTTGGTCTAGGACCGTTTTTTAAACTTCCAATGTAAATCAGCACACACCATGTAAGTTGTACCAAAACCACTGTCTCTACCAATGAGGGTCAGGCAAGTCACGCAGCTGCTGTGGCCAATGAGGACATTCTTACAGATGAAACCAGCCACACGATTGGTCACCGAGTCTTGGGCCTGATGAAGAGACAAATATCTGCAACTGGTGAATGGACTCGGTAGTTCTACATATAACAGGCTTGAGCCTTGAGGAATGATTACATCATCAAACACTTTGGAGCAAATGCAAACCATGTGCCAGCACCACTTGACACACTGTCATTATTTTATTAAAAATAATCCAAGGTCTTAAAAACGATCAAAGTGTTCTATACTTCTATACAGGTAGGTATCTCCTACACAATTTCACAAGACATTGATAGACAATGTATTGACATACTCTGCCTTTTTGACGTGAGATATAACAGAATTTAGAAGTCACTATACCACCGATCATTCACCTGTTCCTATTGGCTCACGGTCAATAGCCTGTGTATTTGGTGCTTTAAAATGGCACATGAAACTGAAAGTTGGCTTAAACACTTTTCAATTAAAGTTTTTCTCAGAATGACACCTTAAATTTTCATGTAAGGAAACCATGTTTTCTGTGATTTCATCTGTTCAAATAAATATGGAAGCATCCAAATCGAACACAGTGCCATTGGTCTTCAGAGCTCAACTATAACACTTAGACCTGTGAAGTCATTTTATGACTATTCCCAGCGTTTTTGGTTTAATTCTTCGGTGTGACTCCCAGTTTCATTTTCAGTGTAAATCTGCAGCACAGACAACTCTGAGGCAGTTAGCCTACTTAGAAAACATTTAGGTTTTTACCAGAAAAGTCTCATGGGTGCACAGAGGCATGAGGTGTTGTCTGAGAATGAACTAGTAATACCAACATTGTAAATATCAAGGTTTGTAGAGTGAGTTGGCCCAACCTGACCTGAGCACGTTTCAAACTTTCAATTCTTGAAAGAATGCACATTGTGCACGTATGATTGCATGTCAAGGCTTTTGAATTTTGCAGGTGCAGACTGTGTTGCCTGCCCGTTTACACCGTATTCCATTCATGTCCGTTGTGGACAGATTTTTAGACTTAAAGATCGGTCTAATCAGAGGCTGTATCCAAGTCAGAACCCTCTTTGGACAACTGTACATTTGTGTTCCACTGATATTGCAATGAGTTACGTCCAAAAATTGTTTGAAAGCCCATACAAAACGATGCAAAACCACGCGAGAATGCATGACACAAGAACTTTGCGAGCCTGGCCTCAAACTTTCCCTTCATATTGGAGGTATTGCGGTACCTGACTATCCATCAGGCCTGTTTGGTACAGACCGTTTTCACCTAAGAGTTCAGAGTCCTCACGGAGCAGAACAGCATACTTCTTGACCAACTCTGGCATGCCCACCGGCTTCATATCTCGCAGAGCATTGACAGCCGCATCATCAAAGCCCCACACATCTAGAGAATGAGCACAGTTAGAGAACCATAATTTCTGCAAGGCCGGCATGATTAACTCTTGATTAAATCCTTCTCAAGGGCATTGTGGAAATACAATTTTAAACGTATAGGAGTCACCTTTGCAAAATATTTTTTTTAAGGTAGTTATGTCTGGATCTCCTGAGTGCCTTAATCCTCCATTATTCCCACCAAAAAACCAGCATTATTCATGCATAAGCTCATCATGAACAAAGAAGAAACTTCATCTTTGCACAAAATGAAAGAGCATGCATTTGGTTTAAGCAAGACCATTCTTCTGCGGTTTTCCTCCCACACCTAAGGCTGGGCATTCCAAATTCCTTTCGAACAGGTTTTTTTAGTCTTCCTATCCAGTTGTTTTAAAAGTGATCTTTGGTGTCACGACCAGAAATAGGATGATATAATAAACAAGGGAACAAAAGACAATTCAGGTTTGCATTCCTACAATCAGGCACGTAGGAAAGAGCCCAAAAGAGCCCAAACAAGTGGGACACATATCGGTCAAGAATTGAGGATGCCTTTGCCTCTCCCTCGCTTTTCGCACAGTCTACAGCAATAAAGAGATTAAGCTGAGTGGTACTATCCAGAGTTCAATAAAGTCTTGTTGGTCAAGCTCTGCCAGACTAAGAAATGGTTACTTACAGATGTTGCCATCTTCTGACCCCAGCAGGAGGAGATCCAGATCCTCGGCAAATGTGGCTTTCAGAAGTGCTGGGTGGTAGTGTTTCTGATGTTCTGCAGGCTGCAGAAATATGATAGGAGAACTTTTTGAACAAACCCACATGAGTCACATGATGATGAATGCCATAGTTGAGTTGTACGCATACGACAATCTTTAGCCAGGTAACGTCAGATTTTCTTACCTGAAACATTTGCTGGGGACAGGTTTCTTCACCGTAAATTCAGAAACTAGAAAACTGTCAAGTGTAGATTGGTCATTTTATGCCGCACCAACTGCGTCAACCCCAAGATTGACTTCAACCCGGGTTGAACTCAACCCTTCTCTGGACCAGGGTCAAGATTTATCAACCCCGGTTGGTGCTGAAGTCCAATTTAAACTCACCCTTATAAGCTCGGCTCACATGAAACAAGTATAAAACAATGCAGGGTTGAAAGGTCACAGTTTTTAACCCCAAGACTTCCACCGACGTGTAACTGATGTAAAAGTGTGGTCCTGGAGCACAATCGCCAAATCCGGGTCATGGACATGAGTTGATTACAGTCCTTCACTGCCCATTTCGGTTATTTGGCATGAATCCACATGACATTGTTGAAAAGGCACATTTCTTCATGGTAAATTTATTGATTACTCCCGGCCATGGATAATTGCTCATCTGCAGACGGACCTCCCGAATACCTTGTTCACTCACTCAGAACACCCCGTACTTCACAGATTTTGTGCAAGATAAATTACAAGATCTTCAATACGGGCGATTCACAATAGTGCGCATCATAGAGTTTGCAACACGTTGGCCAATCACAATGCGCGAAATTTGTCGACCCGATGCCCGTTGGGAAAGGGTCGACAAATTCCGCACATTGTGATTGGCCAACGCATTGCAAACTCTCGAGGGTGCACTATTGTGAATCGCCCGTATTGGACCATGGAAGAGGCTGCCGTGTTTTCCTCAATTTTTGTCAAGTAGTTAACTCAAACATAAAACAATTAAGTTGAATGAAAACTCTGGTAAATTTTTATAGCCCTAAATCAGCCCTAGATCTTGTTAATGCTCGCAGCAAAAAACCAATACCTCTCTTTTAATAATCAGGCACAGATTTCCGAGTGAAATATTCTTTGGGACACACTTGACAAAAACCCAATTTTACTTAACCAATCCCGATTTAAATGTTTGTTTTTCAGATACACAGGCCACACTTTACTGTTTAATATTTATTGTGAGGTCCCAAAATGCTGTGGGGACTCGCTACACTTCCCTACAATCCCGTCCAAATTTTGGAGAATTTATAAAGGAAACATCCTTCAAACAACTTTTCTGACAGTGAAGGCTTACGGGGTCCCAGAGCAAATTATTACCTGTGCCTCGGGCTTGTTGAATATGTAATGGCTACCCAGCTGTGGCTTGACTACTCGTACGACTGAGCTGACTTGCACCTGTTGGTGTGGGTCTTTCTTGAGATTCATCACCTGGGTTAACTTGTTCTTGGCCTCAGCTAAAAGGAAAGTCTCTTTGCTGTGAGACAGTCAAAAAGAGGACACTGAGGGCCCGTTTGTTTGATCTGGATCTCGATCAGTGATCCCAAAGCTGGTTCGCATCATCCGTTAGGAGGCTTCCGCTGTCTGAAACCATCACTAATCATGATCCATGAAACAAACAGCCTCTCAATCGGTCTAGTCAAGTTACTGGATCACATGGTCGAAGAAAATCAACATCAACCACGAATATCAATTTTTAGACGAAGAAAAAATTTCTGCAAATCTTTCTTTTCAATTTTAGATACTACAATCTATTCTAGGGTTAATACGGTGACAAATGCCCAACGATTACCTCACCTGTACATGAAATGATTGGACTGCAGCCTCTCCCATTTGTTGGCTTGACCGTCACTCCCACCGTCAAAAATCAGAATAGGCACCTTGTGGGCTGCAATTGGAGAGCAAGCATTTCTGGTGAGCTCAACCAACGGAAGCTGGGAACCAGTGATGCAACCGAGTCCAGCCCACGTTCCTGGAAGTCCCTGCAAGTTCACTGCACGGCATGTTATCTCTAGCCAAGTCGGAGGCTATTCCAATGGACGGTAACCCAAAACTCCCGTTCCATTGTTCACCTTGTTACTTATGGCCGGTCTTATGAATGGACTTTGATGGACTTGCAAAGGGATTTATATGAAAAGCCTTAAGATGGACCTGATTTAAAGACCAGTCTAGAATAAAACCTGCAACAGAAATGCAAGACTATACGCAGTTAATATGGTTCTGTATGAGCTTTCGCGTCATTATGTTCTCTTACTTACTGTATGTCAGACACTCTACAGCATGCTTGCATTTTAGAGCAGTGATGCAACCTGATGGGTTGTATTTCCACATCATGAGATGACGACGACTTGTACTAGCTGCAATGGAGATGAATATATTAAAAAATCTGTACATAGAGGCATACGTGTATGTATGGACAAATACAAAATTACGAATCTGGTCAACTGGACTGACATGGGAATGCAGACACAACTGGTGTCCAGACCCATTTATGTTGGTCTTTAGCTGTGAATGAATGATGGGATTATTGTGTGGTGGAGAGGCAGTGTGAATACCTCTTTTGTCAAGTCGTCCAGGAACACTTAGAATGACCTGAAGTCTAGTCGCCCGATTCATTAATTCTGTATTCCTAGAAAAATTACCTGGATGAGTCAGAACATATACGTGCCTATACCTGTGACTGACTTGAGCTCTGTACACGAAGCATTGTATGAAGGCACCACAAGGTCTAGTCACAATGAACCAAATAAAAGCACTTGATAAGAGTGGGCTTCCTCTCTTTGTCAAAGGGTGTTGCCTCACCTCATCAAGGCTGAAAGAGGGGTCTGACATTTTGGTGCATAAATGTGAGTTGCTCTTTGAAAATGAGCCATTTAAAAGAAAAATTGTGTGCTATGCACCAAGTTGAACTGCCACGTGGCTCTCTCTTTTTAGCCAATCAGGGGGCTGCTTCTGGTCACAGTGGATTGACCAATTTAGAGACCAGCATGTAGAACCAGGATACTGGTTCACAACACTTTGCTTTTTGTGGTGTAACTTTTATCAAGGATAAGTTTGATCAAAGACCATAAATGACCATACCGGTAGTTTGAATAACTCTGATTGAACGCACACTAGTCAACGATGGTTGGACTAGTCTAGTCAACTATTTTTGATCAGCCTACCGAGGCTGGTCCCATCATTTGTTGCCATAAATCATTTCTAATAGCATAGTGCAGGGGGGAGGAAATGCCGGCAAAATAGTACACGTACATCATTTCCACTTTTTGCTATTGGGCCCTTCCTAAGGCTCCCTATTCTCCCCTTCGGCCTAATGACCTGACAACGGTTGACTAAGGCCGTTCCCACTTCAACTTCTTTGCACATGCACTAGCTACCAGTACATGCCGAATCAACAACCAGGGGCCAGTTTCACAGAGCTGCTTAAGCACAAAGTTTGCTTAAGCGTGAAAAAGCCTTGCTTGACAAATCAGGCTACCAGCCAAAACTCCATGTATCGTGTATTGGAATGGTATTCACCTGTCTTTTGGTTAGCATGATAATCCCATCACGTAGATTTTGAGCAGCCGTTGTTTTTTAAGCAAGGTCTTTTGCTCTTAATCAAATTTTGTGCTTGAGCGGTTCTATGAAATTGGCCCCAGTTTACTAGTGGTCCTTGGTCATACTTGCCTCTTGAATTCTTCATTAAGGCTGATAGGTCATCACCCAGATAATTACAAATTATAATTTGAAAGACTCTCACTTCCTCTTGCAGTATGTAAAGTAACCAATGGACACTCACATGACATTGGCCAGTCACATTTAAATTTTTCAAAGCTGACTTCATGATTTCAGAGCAAGCATTTCTCGACCAATGATCAAAAGTTCTGGATTTTACCCAGCAACGAGCCACCAGTCTCAGTTGATGAGTCCGGTGTCACTAATTTGGATTCAAGATATATTATTTATTTTTCCTTGGACGCTGCTTGATCTTGATATCTGGCTCCAGATTCACTGAAACTTTCCATGCTACCAAATGTCTCTGCCACCAAACAATTTGCAACTCATGACATTTATACGCATCCTTGAGCCAAAAATGGCAGCTGTACATTTTTCCACTTAATCGTGTAACACATCCAGGTATATCTGAAATCACATAGCACCAACATAGCTACATGTACATGTATTCAACTTGTGAATGTGAAACAGCATGGTACATGTACATGTAAGTGTCACGGTCAGAGACTCACCAA